GCAAGATGTTGTCATCCAGATAAAACTTTTAATTAACAACAGATTAACCAGTTCTTTCATGCTGTACTCGATTCTTATCAAACTCCACTTACAGATAAGTACATTTTATTGATTAAAAACAACCAAAGATAAACTCATCCCTAGTGAAACAATGCCTGAAGTGGAAACTAATAAGGGCCAGTCCTTGCACTTCTCAGCACCATCCTGCAAGGATCAAAAATCATTTTGCAATTAAGAATGAATCAAAATAATGTAGTTTACAGATGGAAAAATCAAGGCAAACATTTATAGAGTTTACCAATTTATTTTAGACCCTATCTTGAAATTCTCCCAGAGTTCATATATGCATATTATGTCTCTTGGAAAAACAAATAAAGACAGGCTGCTGTCACCTCCCTGAGCTGTAGCCATCATAACACCATATTTAGTAGCAGTACCAGAAATGTGAATTCTCCTTATCAGCAACTGGAATTTAACACATTTGTGGGATCAGGGAGCCAGGAACAAATTTCCAAAATGCTCTGAATAGGGCTATTGAAAACCATTCAGTTCCCTCTCATCCTCTTCTCAGCAACAGCTTTATGAGGTCAAAGTAGATTAAGCCTAACCATCTTGTTTATCACACTAATTTAAACTCTAGAACTAAGAAGGAAGCAAGGGAAACGGTAAGAAAAGATGTCAGGGTTTATTTATTTAAAACCTCTGATAAATAACTTCAGTTTCTTCTTAGACTTGTCTCTGCACCCTGTCACTTCTAAAAGGGAATAAGGCAAGGACAGCAGAACTACAAAATTAACAACTTCTGACCCTAAGTCTTGATTTAACATAGAGGGAGTAATAATACAGACAAACCAACACAGTGAGCAGCCTTCTAACAGAGCAAATTTCATCATTTTAGTTTATTTTCCACAGCAAGTAACGCTCCAAGTTAAGACGACTTAATCATCAGCACCAACAGAGTCTGGACAGAACAGAGACTTAAATGCTGCTTATGCCAGGCACAAAACACACATACAGAACACCTGCATGGAACACCTCAAAACAAGCACAATTCCATTTGACTAAGATGAATCCAGTGATTTCAGCGGGATTGCATTTCCCATACCCAAAATAAAAAAAAAACAGAATGTAGTTCTGCAAAGGGAACTGGTAGCACCAGCACCAGATATACTTTTCATGTCTGAAGGCACGAGAAAGATCAGGTCAGAAGAAACATCTTGCATTGTAGGCTCCTTGATCCCATCAGCATGGATATGCAGAAAGCACCAAAAATGATCTTGCATCATCAGAAAGTCCTGTGCTCTAACTACTTAACTAGTCCCTCACTGTAGCATGCTTTAAGGCTGTGCTTTCAAATAATAGAGATATATGTGTTCTTATCAAAAATCTCATTAACAGGTAAACAGTTACTATTGATTCTGCTAATACTGTCTGGAACCCAAATAACAGCAACGACCCTCTTTCTACCTTTCTTTTTGTTACTACATTTTTCTAACAACAAAATAGTCAGTATCTAACACTTCAAGGCTGCATTTAAAATAATAACAACAACAACAAAAAAAAAAAACAAACAGTATAGAAAGCTAGAGAAAGGGGGTTATGACAGTAACTTTGATTTTCTGGTGGCAACTAAAATCTATGGATATTTGTATTCTATCTTTGTAACCCACATGACCAGTGTTGGACATGTCCATAGTTCTGCACATGAACAACAAGAATTATCATATGTACCTCTGGTCCCAGGTGTGCAGTAAAATCCAGTGTTACAGGAAGTACATTCAGATAGTTAACCATTATGAGCATTTTTAATTCTCTGTAAATGAACAATTATTCCTGTAAGGTCCTCCAAACAATTTTGTTAATAAAAAAATTGATTTGCTGCTCACAAATTAGTACAAGACAAAATTAGTCACATCTGCTTGAATGAGAATTTGCAACCAAGGTCAAGAGCAGTAAACATCTACTTCAAATTCTAAAAGTCATTGCTTTTGGATTATGAAGTATTCTCAAATATTTTTACCTCAAGGAAAGGAAGAATTGCTTCTATTGTGTGCTGGAAGAACAGACTTAAGGGAAATATGGCACTTCAGACTTCAGTGGATAATCAAACAAAAAAATCACTTGCAGATTACGTTTTTGACAGGAGTTTGTTCAATTAAAGAAAGACAAGGTTTTACACAAACCTAATCATGGCAATAAATTTTCAGAGCCTATAGCACTGTTAGGAAATACATGTACCACTGCTAGGAAATGGCTTGACTGCTTATCATTGTCTGCAACCTACAAGCCAAATGGGGGCCTCTATCATTTCAGGACTAAGGCAAAGATAGTCATACCACTCCAATAGTGCCACCTGCTGCATATTTTATAAGTATACAGTGGTCTGCAGATCCAAGTAACTCAATTCACAGAAGACTGAAGGCCTGACTGATTGAAACAGAAGTGATAATTTTGTGTGAATGTCTGAAAATATGAATATTTTTTATTATTATTACTAGGAATACCTAAACAGGCTAGGGGTACAAACGAAGTGGTTCCACTTCGGTGTAAGAACAGAACCCATGAGTAACCCATTTTCAAGTTTATCTTAGTGGCATAACAAGGATTAGTTACAGCAGCTCACTACACATCAACACTACAGTTAACCCCATGTATTTTGTGGTATCTTGTAGATTAGACCTGCAACTCATTTTATTAATCATATCCTGGTTGCAAATTATTCACAAAACACACATATGTACATATGTGTACATATATACACACAGACACATACACCTTCATTGCAAAGCAGACACACACAATCATATATAAATCACACAATCAATATATAAAGACAAACATGTATTTACACACCCCTTGATACTGAATAAAGATGCCTTGTCCACAAGCTTTCCCTGAAGAGGCAACAAACTGCAATGTCCCTGGAACTGGCTGAGCAAAACAAAACGTAAAGCTGATTCTGTCCTCGGTTCCAACAATCTGCTGTACCACCCAGACCCATTCACATCATTTCACTAGGCATCTGGTTCTTCTCCTGGTTTCTGATTTTGCTGCTCACCCATGCAACTTTGGGAAGAGACTGCCTCATATAACCCATTTGTGTAACGAACTGTGATGGCTTTTCCATGATCCTGAGGGAATGGTATAGTACAAGTAATTAAAAATCATAATTTCTGACAAGATACAAACTCATTATACTTTAAATGCTCTTCTAATGAGAAGATAAGTGCACATTCTTTTAAGACAGAGCCTATATTTCATGTTCAAGGATGCTATCATAGTAATTCTTCCTGCAACACATAGCCAAGTTGCACAAGTCACTTTCGCAGGAGGTCAGCAAGTCAAACAGTGTGACTGGAATTTTAAAAAGGTTGGTTAACTTTTATGACCATTATTAATGTTTGTATGAGGTTAATTAAATCTCCTGCCCCAATGTATAAACCAGCTGCCTGAAGGTCCAAGGGAGGACTCCATGTGCCAACAATTCAAAACACTGCACAAACAAGGCAACTGAGGGACTCCTTTCTACAGAGCACTAGGTGTTTGTCACTACTGAAGGCTGAACATCAACCAAAGCCATGATACATCAGAACATGACACCTGCTTATTTCCAGGGTTGAGAGAGAAGCCAACTTGAAATGTATCTACAGTGCTGACAAAAGTATTGTGTTTGCTGTTCTTTCCCTGGCAAAGGCAGAAAAAGACTGCAGGTGAAGCAGGCAACATGATTTGCAAGACACAACATTTGGGAAGGCAAAGCAATATTATTAAGTGAATTACAGCTGACTTACACATGTGAGCCTGCTGAGCCCTACCAGAACTACATGCACTACATAACTAGAGTCTTGTCACATGTGTACACACAACTTCCAAAGGGATTTCCAAGATCTGCAGGATTTGAGCCCTGATTCAGTAAATCATTTATGATGCAAATCATCACATAGTTTCTGCCAGTAACTGGAAAAATGCAGCACACCAGTATTCTTTCCACACACTGCTGTGTCACAATGTTTTTTTATGCAATGTTTTTCCCTGCAAGGAAACTAGCAGATGCACTATTATATTAAAACTACTGTTTAACTGCATTATTTTTCACATACTACTCTTGGGCTCTTGCAGGAATATGAGATGGACCTATTTCAGGAAAAGAAACTTGCAGTTCCTAGTCCAGACAAAGTCTCATATTTTATTTTATATGATCAATTGTTTTACATTTTTTGCCTCATTATTCAATAGTATTTTAACATGTACAGTTTTAAACCATGCATTTTAAGAGCTTGTTCAGTTCTCAGTAAATGAATTATTACTTCTATAGTTTACTTCATTTTATAGAAGGCAGAAAAACTGAATGAGTCAGAGTAAGGCATTTGTATCTCTAGCCTCCCAATGCCATTTTCCATTGGCACATGCTGTTTTGACTCTGCACCCAGGCCAGAATACTCTTACCACATTCTTAAAAGGGAGCAATAAGCACAAAAGTAGTAAGCTGCAACAAATAATCCACACCCAGCCCACTGCCCCAAGAAGCAGAGGCAAGAATGAACCTGGATGAAAGTTAAGGAACAGAGTGTGAAAGGGAAAAAGACAAAATAAATGGCAAGAAAACTGAGGGAAGATTTCGCTGGTGGAACTACTGTCTTGGGCAGGTCACCACGACAGCATCCCTTTAAGAATTAACATTACTACATAAACCAGTATTACCCAGCCCTTTGTGCACCTGACTGTGTTCAATGAGGTTTTGTATTTCACTGTTTTGTTTGGCAAAGCTTCATACGCTCACAACCTTAAGTCAACATTCAGTCCAGCTCTCCAGTTATAATCCTGACCTCTGTATGCAGTTGCTCCAGACGCACTGAATGAAAACAAGCTGACTGAAATCCCCAACTTCAGAATAGACCACACAACCTCTGAAAGAAGTCACTGCACTTAGAAGAAAGTTACCTCTTTATTTAGGAAGATATCAGATGCTTCATACTTGATTTGCATTTTTTGCCAACACAATGAAGGAAATGTCCTGCTTCTGCATGACTTTTTCTTCCTTGTTGGAACAGATGGTGAAGGTTTACAAATACATGACTGGTATTTTTTCAGTGACTCATACCTCAGAGCAACAGGCTTCAGATCACGATAAGCAGCCAACCAAGATGGATGTAAGCTTACTTGAGGAGCAGTATGACCATTTAAAACAGAAGCAAAAACTGCAATCACACATTATTGTCTTTAAAACAGGTATGCTCATATTTATAGGAAACAATGCAAATGTGGATGTAAAGACTATTGCTTTAAATCTTTAATAACTCGCAGCTTTGTTCTTTTTATGCTCAGCTTCAAGAGAGATACAAAGTGAATTCATTTTCTGTAATTTTTTGGGTTTTATTTGTCTCACTGAAAGGTGTTCTTATGTGTATATCAGCTTCACAGCAGTGGAACACTATGATTAATTTGAAACGAATGTATTTGAGGTAAGGTTTTACAGGTTTTATGTCAGCAAAATAAAATTCTAAGCATAAGTGGTAAGTCTTACAAGAGCCATATACTTCATGCCTATCATCACATTTGTGCAATGTATTCTGTAACATTTCTGCTCTCTTGAATGCTTCATCAGAACAAGCAATTCTACGTCATCTCTTTTTCCCTTCTTTATCTGTGTAAAGAAATATGTTCTACAAGACTACAGGAAGCAATAGCACAGATCAAGTGACTAGCACAAGTTGGGTTTTTGTTAAGTAACTTACACTAAGAGTCATAGTGGGTAACTAAGATACAAGCTTTGAACCAGAGGTCCTGTCTTGGAAGTGTTCTCGCTGCATGTTGCTTGGAAAATACATAAACAGAAAAACAACAACATGAAACTCTCATCTACCTGCTATGTCAAGCAGATTTTATATAAGAAATTTCCGAATACTTGGAAGATGTTTAGACTGTTTACAATATTATACTGATGTATTTTCATTTACTTTCCAACTTAAAGTGATATTGAGAATACTAAGTCAATTACTGAACTTGTCTTCCGAATCTAACTGCAATATGAAAAATATGCTTTGTTCACCTCATATTATTATTTAGCTCAACAAATAGAAAACTTAGGTTATTTCATTCATTACACCTTCCTCTACATTTTTCAGCAGTTCTGGCTTTTGTCTGTGTCAGACTACCTCATTAAAACAACTGAAAAAACACATAATGATGAACAGATTCATTTTGTCAATGTTCTTTCAACCAAATGGCTAGAAATTCATACATCAAAAATTTAAACTTGTAACATATATAGAGATATACAAGGTTATTTTATCAGGTATGAAAAGACAACTAACTTGAAGATAAAACAGCCCATCTAATCAGCTATAGCAAAAATGTAAGTCAGTTAATGGAAGGAAGAAGTCTGTATTCAGATTAAATTGAAAGGAAGCTTCACATACAATGAATGTAATCAGAGCAGACTTTTTGCAAGGACACTATTTGAAGGTTAAAGAAAAGACTTGAGAAAGTAGGACTGCACAGTTTCTGGGTAGTTTAAAATTTAGTGGGCTAAAAGCTCACATGCAAGTATTTTCACATACACACAAAGAACCCAGAACAGCCATAAAACCACATGACCCGCTGCAATGAACTTTTATCTTTAAATAACCTGTGTGGAAAGGATTAATTTTACTGTTGGAAGCAGCTGAAGTTTAGGAATTTTTTTATGCTGAGTCCTCAATGTTGTGAAAGTTGATCTTGCACATTCCTATGGTTTGGAAGCTGGGAAAACCTATTACATAACTCAGCACTTTTAGCCTTTTTTATGCACCAGTTTCCAAGAGCTTGTCAAGCAGAAATGAACACTGCCATATCAGGAGAGCCTACACTCCTCAAGTTACAAGCTAAACAGACATTCCAGACATTCCAGCTAATACCAAAAGGCAGTCCATATAGGTATCAGTATTATTGTACTGGCAGCAAATTGTTTTCGTAATTAGAGGCTAAGATTATGGCTGGGCTGGGAACGAGATGACAACAGGAGCACCACCACAGCCCCACACATGCACACAAATCTCAGAGGCAAAGCACAAAAACCTCATGAGATTCAAACACTATGGAAGGAGGGCACCTTCAGTCTTTCATAGTCTTAAAAATCCTTGCCAAAGGTCTCTATTCTAACTAGTAAAACCTAAAGTGTTTCTGCTGGACAGACCAGCTGTCTTTCAATGTCTTTTCAATGTCTTTCAATTTCAAGGAATTTTGAGCATTTCAGGTTTATTGCACCACAGTTGGAATGGTAACTCCAATTTTCCTTGAGGACTTTTAGCTTTGTACGTCACTACCTGTTTGTCAGTGAAAACACTGTGGACCTTTCAACAGAACTTAAGATTCTCTAACTTCTCTAGGTTTTTGACTGGTGGTTTAGTAACCTAGATGTCACCTGAAAGACTCTTTTGTTCCCCAATACACACAGCCATGTTTCTGCTTCTGCCTGTTCCTGATTAGTTAAGAACAAAGAGCATGATAAGATTTGAAAGTCACCAGCTAGGGGATAGTACAGCAATGTATTCATTATTTATTGGCTAAGAAGCTGAAAACCAGTATTTACTTTAGGAATTAAATGGAGCATTCAGTGCACACAGTCACAGCAGAATAAACACTGGGGCTCTGACTGAAGAAATCTCTTGCAAGAATTTCCCAAGCCAAGTTGAAATCAGATTAACTTTATTCACTCCAGCACCTTAAAAGTATCCAGCTCTGACAGCATAATCAAAAGGCCAAACTGTAAATAAAGCTTTTATGAACAAGTTAAAAAACAACCAAACAAAACAAGAAAATAAAACAGACCAAAGATATGTCTAATTAAAGCTTTGTTTACAAGTGCAGAAAGTGCCAAATATGCGTTAATTCAACACACCATCGTTCAAGACTCTCACATTTGTATCAGAGATCATTGCTCCATTTTGTGTGCTGCACCTGTAGCCAAGGAATCAAAACCAGTCCAGACTATTAGAACTGGACTAGATGCATTACTGTGAACTCTCTGATCAACTCAAGCCAGATTGTAATCCTTCTAATGACCAGTTCCTAAGCTTCAAGATAAAACCTGATGTTGCCTATCAATGCTAGTTCAGTCAAGAGTGCAACTACATATGCAGGAACATGCAAAGCTGCATCACCTCAGAGCCTCTCACTTCTACCCTCTTGCTTCTTCTCTTGCATGCACAGTACAAGCCCTAATTTTTGTAGCTTGGTGCTGTACTGTGCTGTTCTGCAGAACACTGCAGGATCTATTTTGCAAGTGGACATCTTGCAGCCACCCAAGCTCAGCTTAATTTCCTGGAGAAAGTCTAGTGATAACTTTGATTCTGACTGTTCCATGATAGAGGAATGGTGTGTTCTTATCTCTGTGAATGGCGTCACCCTATGAAATTCTGTTAGCAAACTTCATGCATAGACACATGCACAAACACATCTACATCTCTAAGCTCTGCATATGTTTTAGTCTCTTTTCTCCTGGGAACAGCACAGGAGAGAGGAAAATGTGAGCTGACACAGTTCTCACTCCCAGAGCCATGCTGAAAAACAGCTCTTATCAGATCAACCCTACGTGGGCAACCCAGGGAGCAGAAAAAAAAAAAATTCACTGCTGGTGTTTTTGCTTCAGCAGTGGAGTCAAAGACAGTACTGAAAGCCCCTCCTTAGCCAAAGCTATGTTGTACAGGCTTATTTACTGCCACTAAATCAGCTGGGTCTCACATCTTCAAATATTTCCTTGTAAAGGTGGTATGAAAGACAGTTATAAAGGGGGAAGTTAAGCTGTTGTGTTTTGGTTTTTAAAGGCTGAGTGCTATTCAAAGTAGCTTCATTTCAAACACAGGGTTACAATTCTTTTAAAATGGCTATTCAGATATTCTGTTTCAGAATATAAACAGCACTCTTCTATGTCTACTTTTTTCACTTGAATATGCTTTGTAGCTCATACTGCAACAGATAGTTCTTATAACTCAACCCTGTGAACAAGGTCAGCATTCTGCACAACTCCCACTTTAAACTATTTTTATACTAACTGAAGTGTATTTCATTAACATTTCCAGTGTCAACAGCACTGTTTATCTTCAAAGGTTCAGTTCCTATTCATTAAGATACAGAAAGCCAGTCCTGTTCCATAATTTGACAGCTGCTGCATGTAATTAAAGTATCATTAGCATTTCTGTCCCTAATATCTTACTCATTTCTAACAGTAACTTTCATACTGACCAGGCCTTCTCTCTCTGTTACAGCTACTCTATACCATTAAAGGAGCAAGCAGATGTTTCCTCTAAGTGACCATTAAGGCAAAACTAGTGTGTTAAGCTATTTACTTTACACCTTATATACTGGCTAAAATAGTATAATTGCAGTAAAAAATACAACCCTTTATATGTTGATGATCCCTCATTAAGATGGAGGTAGAAATGCCTCATTAAGAAGAAAGACATTCACAATTTGTTTAATCTAGAAGCAGTCAGTATTTTTAAGCTGTGTGCCTACAAACTTCAAACAGTATCAAACAGAACATTTTGTCTTTCAAATCACAACTCCCACCAACACACAGACCAAATCCCTGCTCACCTTAACAATTTTTTGCTTACAAGCAAATAATTACTGAAAGCCAATTCTCAATCTGTGTTCTTAATGAGTCTTAGAGTACCGGTTAGATCAATATTGACTTGATAAATACCCACTTTCATTTGACTACATCTTGGGCATCATTTTTGTCCTCAGAACTGCAAAACTAAGCATGAAATGTTTCTACTCCATAACCTGGCATCAAAAGAACTTGCACTGCTCTTGCCACAGACAGAAAGAGTACAAATAAAGTTATCTGTGAAAGCTCTTCAGCTTATGCCACAGAAATGACACACTTAAATTTTTGCCACCACAGTAATCTGCATATATGCATTTCTTTTGTAGGTGAACATGAATCTGCTCTCCCAGAACCAATGGTCAATCCTGTTTTAATTAATAAAAAAGTTGGAAGATCAAAGTCATTTACAGAACACATTCCTGTCAGAAAGGTCAGGCTGGAGATGAGCAGCAGTGGCAACAACATCCAAGACAACTCACCATGGCGCACCCACCTGGGAATTCACCGCCTGGTGCAGGTCCCTCGTCAAGGGGTTACATGGGATCCTTCCCACTGCAAGAATGGACCGTGCAGTTTTGACAATCAGAAACCAATTTCCAAGGGAAACAGCACACTGCAACCCAAGGAATTAGAAGGAGCAAGTGAACTATCTGTGCTCAGCCAACTGGGAGGTTCAAGCATGTTGAACAGTTTCAGTAAAGAGAACGGCAGCAACATCTCAAGCACCTGCCAAAAGCCTCCTCTGAAATCAGCCACTTCAGCAGTTCAGACACATCAACATATTTCTTCTACAAACTGCATGCCAGCTTGCAATAAACTGAACTTTTACCCTTTCCCTAATAAAAGGCGGCCCAGAATTTCTGAAGCAGCAAGGAGGCTTGGATTATATGTCTCACAATGAGGACATTCAGTAACACATAAAACTTATTAAAAAAAAACTTGACTGAAATTTAAAATAGTAAAATAGTCCTCCTAGTTACACTGACTAACTTGCTAAAAGTCTACTACTTTTATTAGCCAAGGAAGGCCTTTACTATATAATCTGTTGTTCTGTACAGTATAAAATTAAATGTCCTCCTGAAGATTCTGGGCTGCAACAACAGATGCTCATTTCTGTTACATTTTTATTTTCTATTTTTTTCCTTTTTTTTTTTTTTTCCTTTTTTTTTTTTTTTCCTTTTTTTTTTTTTTTCCTTTTTTTTTTTTTTTCCTTTTTTTTTTTTTTTCCTTTTTTTTTTTTTTTCCTTTTTTTTTTTTTTTCCTTTTTTTTTTTTTTTCCTTTTTTTTTTTTTTGTCCTATTTTCACCTATTTTATTTCCATAAAAATAGGAAACTCATTTTAGAAACTAAGATTTTATCACAGCAATATTAGAAATACCTGAAGGAGCCATAGCAAAGACTACTAGAATTACTGATGAAGCAACCAGCCTTTTGAGTATAGTAGCATTTAATTAGACAATAAACAAGTTAAAAATGAAACAGTATTGAAGCTGATTGATACACTTAACGTATGATTTCATTACTCACTTTCCTTGAAAGAGGATATTCAAGAAACTGTCTGATGTATGTGTATTTAAAATACAGTTAATAAACCCTCTGCTCATTTCTATTGTTGTCTTAATGGGACTTGGCATATGTCACCTTCTTCTTAGATATTAATTTTATAATAGCATATTATTGGTTCCCATTTATCCCCAATATTTACTTAGAAAACAAAAGTCTGAAATGATTAGTTAGTTCCTCAGGACTATATACCAATGTATGTTCCTGACCAGAAGTATAATGCATCTTTCTGCTGCTACAACTGTATGCACAAAAAGGGGATATAACCATTTTAACTTCACTAATATAACTGTAGCAGCACAACCATTTTTATGGACAGAATTTAACATTTTCTGATGTGGTACAACTGCACCACAAACCAGTGCAAGTTGGTTTTTTTTTTTAAGTGAGTAGTTATTGCTGGTCTCCCCTCCTGAAAAATATTCAGGGGAAGAAGACCCTCTTCTGCAGGTGCTTTTCAATGACAAAAACATGGGCTATCTATCATGTACTTCTGGCTACAAATATTTAGACTCTCTCAAATATAGGATCCAGAAAAATTGAAGACTTGAGATGTCTCCCCATTTCATAATGGCATTAATTTCAAGCTATACATCTAGCAGCCACAGGCTCTTCTGAACCATTCCGTATCTACCTGAGCCCTGAAAGGACAGCAAAATGAAGATCAGGTGGATGGTCCACAAAGCTCTTTGTGATCCCTGCAAACAGTCTGCAAGCGCACATCTCTATTACCCACCACTGTCTCAAAATCACACCATCCACACATTGAGAGGAAAAAAAAAGAATGTCAAAGATACTCAGTTGTGGTTTATGTCCTTCTAGACACAAACTCTTCGTTACAAGAAAGATAAAGGATTTCCTCATAAGGTATCTGGAAAACAGTGTTAATACCAATATGCAAATAAAATGCTGTTGTCAGAGAGAGAGCAGTGTTATCCATTTCTAAGAGAAACTACTGTTTTCTTTGCATCCAACACAACTTCAAACCATGAATCCTTTATACAATTCCTCTGTTTTTTGCTGTGCTCGATGGAGGATGCTGAATCTGGAGATGTGGCACAGATCTGTCAGAGCCTACGCTCCCCTCCTGCTGCAGGGGATTACAGCTGTAAGTACATCACAGTACTTGGTTAGGTCCAGAAGAATAGAAAAAAAAGCATGGCATATAATGCTATTTTACTCCCCCTGGCCAAACACCATTTCCTCAATGCCATTCAAAAACTTCAGACCCAAACCCTCACACCAATCCAGCCACTAACAGCAGGCAGGGAAGTACCTTGTCACCTGGAAGTGACAGTCCTTTTGACAGTGCTGAAAAACCAATAGCAATGAATACACTATGGTAACTCCTAAGTAATTTTCCATTAATCCTCAGTAAAGCAGCAGCATCATAAAATCATGGAAAGGACCTTGAAGATCAAGTCCAACCATTAACACTGCCAAGTCCACCACTAAACCACATCCCACAGCACCACATCTACATGTCTTTAAAATACCTCCAGGGATGATGACTCCGCCATTTCCCCGTGCAGCCTACTCCAATGCCTAATGCCCTTTTTAGTGAAGAAATTTTCCTTAATATCCAATCCAAACCTCCCTTGGTGCAACTTGAGGCCATTCCCTCTCATTCTATTGCTTCCTACTTGGAAGGAGAGATGGATACCGACCTCACTACAACCTCCTTTCAGATAGTTATAGAAATTTATAAGGTCTCCGCTCAGCTTCTTTTTCTCCAGAATAAACAACCAGAGATCCTTCAGCTAGTCCTTGTAAGACTTGTTCTCCAGACCCTTCACCAGCTTTGTAGCCCTTCTTTGGACTCACTCCAGTACCTCAATGTCCTTCTTGTAGTGAAGGGCCAAAAACTGAACCCAGTACTCGAGATGCAACCTTACCAGTGCTGAGTACAGGTGCACAATCACTCCCGGCCACACTGTTGCTGACACAAGCCAGGATGCAGTTGCCTTTCTTGGCCACCTGGGCACACTGCTGACTTATATTCACCCACCTATTGACCAACAACCTCAGGTCCTCTTCCACCAGGCAGCTTTCCAGCCACTCTTCCCACAGCCTGTAGCATTGCTTGGGGTTGTTGTGATCCAAGTGAAGGGCACTTGCCCTTGTTGGACCTCAATGGCCTTGGTCCATTGATCCAGTCTGTCCAGGTCCCTCTGCAGAGCCTTCCTATCCTCGAGCTGATCAATGCTCCCCCCAAACTTGGTATCATCTGCAAACTTACTATCCAGATACTTGATAAAGATACTAAACAGAACTGGCCCCAGCACTGAGCCAAGGGGAACACCACTTCTGACCAGCTGTCAACTGGATTTAACTCCATTCACCACAACATTTTGGACCCAGCCAGCCAGTTTTTCACTCAGTGAAGCAGACACCATGCAAACCATGAGCAGCCAACATACCCAGGAGAATGCTGACACAGGTTTGTCAGAAGTGTTCATGGTGATTTTTCAGGGTTTCTAGTGCTTTCAATTAACTGGACCGCCCAGATTAGCTTCCAGCTCAGGTGCTCAATTCTATCTCTGGGTAGGCATAAGACATTTAAAAAAAACAGAGCTACATGATTTTTTTTTTCTTCACAGTTGTTAAAAAGTTTTTTAAGAAAGATTAGAAAGAAAAAAAAAAAACAAACAAAAAAACACAGAGATGTATTATAGGTATAATAGGGAGAAAATACTACATAACAATTAGCCCATATGAAACTATCTGGAGAGAAACACTTTTTAAAAACCTCATTGTCCTTTAATCTGTGGTACAGGTTAGCTTCCTCTTTACTTGTCTTGCTGATTTGTACTCCTCTCTTATCATTATACTGGAGTGTTACTTTTGTTCTACCTCCAAGTCTGTAGCTCACAAGAGAACCAAATAAAGGAATAACTGAAAGAAACACCCAATGTTAACAAGAGGTCACTACTAAAATTATTTTAAAATTCACCATCATTTTGCCTACATTCTTTCAATGACACACTTGAGAACATTTCACTGAATGCAACTTCTACTTTTTGATCTTTTAAATCAGTATCACAGGAAGTTTACAACCTTATCCAGCCATTTACCTACTCTCTAAACCCATTTGAACTAAATTAGTGATTTCCTTTTCTGCAATCACTTTTAAATTGATTTGGAAGTGCTTTGAATTAGCTATCTTAATTAAACAAGGACCTTGAATACCTTGATTTTCAGTGCAGATTTATGCATGGACCAAGTGACTAACTCCCTTGTAAGCACTTTCATACAGTCTGTCCTTTCCTGAGGCTTCTCGAGCATATTACTGTGCTTTATACTGACTGGAACTTACTTAGAAAAGACTTATGCCTTTAGTGACATCCTTCGATGTAATTCCCAAGAACATTAGGGAAGAAAAACTTCAGTAAACTCTGATTTGCTAGTTTTAGTTATGATTTGTTAATTTTAGTTATGAGGAAAGTTGCTAAACTTATATTTTAGGAGGCTGAAATATTACACAGATATGTTGTCTACTAACATTTTTTTCCCTAAAGTAGTTGTAGTAAAAATAAAACAGGAAAACATGAGAAAAAAAAAGAAAACTTTAAATATTAGAAAGTCCCAGTTCTACAGTGCACTTGATTTTGAAAACCTTTTACTACTTGCTTCTTCGTGTTTGGAGGTCATGGGGCAGTAACTTCCATCATTCTGTTACCATAGCTTTAGCTAAGGTTAAAGTATTGAACTCAAGACTGCCATAAAAGCAAGTTTAATCTTATCAGTAGGCAGACTTGACTGATTTACGCATAGGGGAGCCTAGAATCCTGAAATCCTAGTTCAGTGTCTTGTTCACAAGCTCTTGATACCTGTTTGGCTCCCATTTCCAAAGCTGCACTATGCAGCACCCCTACCTAGTCTGCATGACTGCCTAAGGAAAAGGTTTACAGCAGTCCTGTAGACCCATCCATTTGGGAATTATAACCTAGTGCCATGATTTCAGCTACACATTAGATCAATTAGAATAAAATCCGTTTGCTGCTGGGACAGCTGATTACACAGAATGGTTAAGGTTGGAAGGGACCTTAAAGATCATCAGGGTCCAACCTCCCTGCTATGAGCAGGGACACGTCACACTAGACCAGGCTGCACAAGCCCCATCCAACACACAAGTAAATTATATCTGATGTAACCCATTATAAGGCTATTCCAGGAACAAGCCCCAAACCTCTGAGGGTACCCAAATACAACACTGTGCAGCCAAACACCAGTGTAGCCACGTACCCTACTCAGGGACTGGAAGTGACACTGGAGCACCATCTCAGCTTCAAGTGTTAATGCCAGATTTTACACACACACCATGTATTCTTCCAGTCCAGTCTCTGAACCC